CTAGTTTGTCAAACATAGCCTACAAGTTACAAAATTACTCAATTCTAAAATTAGATAAGATATTTAAAATAAATAAGAGATATATTTTATTTATTTTAAAGAAACGTAGTACTTTTAAAAATACATATTTAAATATTATAGACCCGATAATGGTAATTTCAAAAGTATGATATTTAAAGTTAAAATAAAAGATTTTTTTTGCATGTAATTTGGCTTTAACTGAAGTATCTATAAATAAACGATATTAAAAAAAGACGGCATAAACTGAAAATCAAATTTATTAACCTTAGAACATCTTTAATAGATGTCAAAGGATCTTTAATCTAACAGTATCGTAATCTTTGGCCTCTTTTGAGGTCATGAGTTCAAACCTCACTAAATGTGAGAAGTATGTGTGAATTTATTTGTTGCATTTGTCGTATATAAATATTGTATACTTAAAAAAAATCTTTAACAAATATATTACATTTGTTTTCTCTTTTTTCAAATTTGCAAATTCTTCAAAAAAAAAATTAAATAAGAATTTAGCATGACTGTTGGAACAAACTTTTTTTAAATCTTAAAAATTTCTAAAACAGTATAGATATTGAAGATGCTATTTTATGATGATTGTTAATGGGGAAAATATGAAGAAAAAAAAACTTGCACAATAATTATTGCAATTTTTTTTATTAACCTGGATATCCAACCCGCCATGCGAGCCGATTAATCTAGGACGACCACCTGCTTTGCAGATAACCCGGAGTCACCGCATTTGAATCTCCGTGGCCATAGGAGGATTTTTATTCCTCATTGAATTTAAACATGAGACTTCCTGATATTTTTGACTTTTAGAGTCAAGCTCAAACCAATCAAACATCATCCTTATGGTTAATTATTGCAATTTTTTATATATAAGAAAATTGGAATATTATTGTTTTAAAAATTTCTTGAAACTATGGATAATGCAACTTCACTTTTTATATAAGTATCTAATAACATAAATGAATTGATTAAATAATTCTGTAAAATAAAAATCAACGACCAAAAACATTTTTAAAATTATATATAAATAAATAGTGTATTTTTATTAAGAGTGGGGATATTTGGTAGTAATTATTGATTGGAGGGGTAAAGTTGTCTTTTTGGTTCCAACAATGTTATAGATTCTTTTAAGGAGATATGTTAATTTTCATGCTTTAAGGTGTCCCCTATCTCATAAATATGCTTCATTCTTAGTATTTGGAAAATATGCTTATTTTTCGTTTTCATATACTTTTTATATTTCTTTTCAGACCAGATATATCTCGCAAGTCGATCATCCTTTCGACCATACGTCATAATAGAAATGCACATAAGCCGGTGTTCGGATCGGTCAAACCTTCTTGACGACCACGTCACTAGAGCCTGAGATACATGCCAACACCAAAACATATAGTAAACAATTGTAACAAAACGAGCCTAAAACCATTTGTAAGCCAAGTATGACATTTAGGTGGAAGCAACGGGGGAGACCCGTATATATTGAAAGTGACAAGAACATAAAAGTATGTCACACAAACAATGTTGTCGCATGACACATCAAGACTTACAGTCCAAGTGTCCTAACGACTACTTAAGAAGTTTCACCTCAAGAGCCGGTTGTCCTTAGTGTCTATTCTTGCTAATTCCACCTCAAGGCTTGGCACACTTAATATCTACATCAAAGATAACATCTCAAGCGATGAAGATCTTAGTATCTACTCAAGACTCAATCCTCCTAGTGCCTACTTGTATGTTATATTTTCTTACTTTTTATTAATTTAAACTTTTTATTATTCTGCCTTTTTTTTTTCACTCTATTTCAGAGAAGAATTTAACATAGTTGTTGAAACAATTTTTTTTCAAATATTCGAAATTTCTAAAAAAAAAAATGGTCTGAAAAGTCATATTTTATAAAACCTTAAAAAATGTGATAAGAAAAAGAGTTCAATTTGTTGAGATGGCTTAATCCAAGCATGTGGAATTAATAAAGAGCAAAAGGTAGGGTCAAACCAATGATGACATTGATTATCATATAACCCATTACTTTGGTTCCTACTAACTCCATTATTATACTAATAACCCAACATACTTCATCAATGGGTGGGGGCCCACATCATAGTCTTACTTTATTTTCCTTTCCAAACTCCATACATTTATTAACAACAAAAATAATAGCTCAAGGGGTCAAACATTTGTATATGGTCAACTATGATGAGTGTGTGTTTTTTTTTTATTAATCTGGATATCCAATCTATTATGTAAATCAATTAGTTTTAGGACAGTCATCTTCTTTGTGGGTAGTTCGGAATCACCGTATTTGAACTTCCGTGATGGAAAAGTTTCCTATCACCATAATGGAGAAGTTCTTATAAGAACTTCATGCTCTCTAGGCGCTTGAACAAGATCTTTGGTTTTTACAATGAAATTTGTGAGAAGAGACATTTTTCTTTATTTTTTATTTTATTTTCTTGACTTTATAAACTATTAACATGTATTAATATAATAAGACCCACAAAAAGAATGTTCTTATAAAAACTATTATTATAAACTTTCAAGAGAGTTCTTAATTTGATAAGTTAGCAACAAAAGTGTAAAAATGAGGTTCTTATAATAAAAACCTCCATTGATGATGCTTTTATTACAACATTTTTAGATATGACACACGAATGTTTAGTCCTATAAATTAAAGTTCGGTATATTAAAACACTCAATCATTTTCAATATCCTATAACCCCAAATATTATTATATCCTAACAATTGAGGTTGTTTGTTTACCTCTTAATAATTCCATTAAGATGCAACATCTGAATCATTAAGGGATGAATCTTGTTTGACAAAAAAAAATCTACGTGTTTAATGGTTTTAAAACTATCTGAATGATTTTGTTCATGAGTCTCCCTCATCTTCAACACCCCACTTTCGTTATAAATAATTACCAAAAAATTTATATTACATTCTAACCATTTAATTATTCTGTAATCGTAAAGAAAACCCTAACAAATGGCCGTAAGTTTTTCCATAAATTTGGTATTAATGTTATAATTACTAAAGAAAATCTAGGTAGCATATATGCTAGAATTAGGCTCATTTCCCAATTAAATGCCTGAGCTTTTTCCATATTTTAATTAAAAGAACAGATGCCCACATCTTCCTCTTGCCTTCTCTTTTCACTCCCCTCTCTGATCTGATATCTCTCTGAATACTTGTTGGTTTCTCATGGCTCATGCTGCTTTCTCTTTTCTTTTTTCACAGTTTTGTTTATTCCCACTCAGTCTCATCACTCTTCTGCCACCAGTAAAATTGTAATCTGTTTCAGTTAAATATCATAAAAAAACATCACAAGAATCTTTATTAAGTAAATTATGTGTTTTGTTTGGAAATAAATTTCAAGAATATTATCAAGATTGTAGGGAATTAGCAAGAGAATTATAATAATGTTGGTGTTCTTGTTTTCTTGTTTTTTGTTTGCTTTTGATTATTGTCCGGTTAGCTTTCCTCCACAAGATGATGAGATAATCATGTCCCAGCCACGGCAACAACTTGTATGCTTCGCTCAACGCCAATTTCTAGAGAGAGAAACAGAAAGGGATTGGTGAAAAAAAGCAAAGGGGGCACCTCTCTCTTCTTCTTTTTTTATATCACAGCAGACAACACTGTATTCATTGATTCCAGCTGGGCTTCTGTAGTTAAATCCCAACTGGCTTTTATTCTTCAAATTTCTCTAATGACAATGGGTCTTTCTCTCTCTCTCTCTCTCTCTCTCTCTATATATATATATATATCTATATCTATCTCTATCTCTATCTCTCTCTGTGTGTGTAAATAAAGTTTGTTCTTGATGTTTCTTTCGGCTTCACAGAGGTTTTGGTGAGATGGACAGACCTTGATATATGAATATTAATATAACCCCATATTCCTTTCTTCTTAATACTTTTGTCTTATTCACTTATGATTTGTACGTATCTCTTAGCTTGTTCTTGCATATTTTACTTCTGCTTTTTCCAACAATAGCTTGTGATCTGCCAAATTCCCCTTTTCCGTTTTCTCTTCTTTCCAAAGGATATGGTTTTGGTTGGTTTTCACGGCTTCAGACACTGAGTAGCAAGAAAAAAGAAGCCATCTTTAGTCATGGTGGTAAGGACAGATACGATAAGGGAACAGATGGAATCATGGTGCTCTGCAATTCTCCAATAAGAGCTGCAATTATATGTTTCTTGAATTCTGATAAGAGTTCTATCAGTGGATTCTGAGCTGCTTTTGCTGCTAAAAATAACTTGCAACCCATAAAAGGCTCTGGTTTTTGATGAGTTTTCTTGCTGTTCCTCTTGAATTCTCAAAGCCTTTTCTCAAGATATGCAAGTGGGTTTTGTTTATAATGTCTTTGAATTGCAAGTTATCTGGAATAAAGGGTAGATTGTTGACCAATTCCAAGATGAGGAAGGCTAAGGAACCCTTGAAAGGATCTAATGGTGGTTGGAAATGGAAAAGGCTGCTTCTTTTTTTGTGGGTTTTCCTTGTTGCCACTGGGTTTTCTTGGTTCTTGTTTGGTTTTGTTTCAACCCAAAAGTTAGAGATATCAAGGACATCTGAAGATAATTCTTCAGGGTTGATTCAACAATTCAATGTCAGCAAGGACCATCTTCATGAGCTGGCTTCCTCGTTCTTTGAGTCAGATCAGGTTTGTTTTTATCAACCCTTTTTTCACAGTTACTGTCATGTTCTAACTGTTTGCTTTATTCTGAGGTTTCTGGTGCCAAAAAAGCATGATTCTTGTTTAATGTGTAGTTATTTTCCTTTGATCATCACTCATCAGTCTCTTACCACTTGATTAGGATGGTTGATGCTCTCAAGCCTGCAACTTTTGGCTTTTTATAAACTATTTAGCATCCATTGTACATGAGAACTTAAGAAATATGATGAATTTAGGGTTTTAAAGATCAAGATTCAAGATTCATACAATGCTAGGATAACTGCTTTATTGATCTTCAAGATGCACATAAATTGTTTCAGTTTCTTGATCTTATAGATGAACTTTCAGTCAATGATATGATGCAAATTTAACCCTGCTTCATCCCACTTAAAAAACTAACAATCCCAATTCGGATATTGGGACTACCGCGCTATAGAACTGCAGTGCCAATTCTTTTTTTGACTCATATCAAGACTAAAGGTGTTTGTTTTTTAAGACTTGTTGAGCTTTGAAATCTTATTCGAAGTATCGGCGATGTGAATGTTCTTGTTGGTGACTTTCAGATAACTTCCTTGAAATGTACCAAACAACTGGAACATGAAACAGCCGAGAAGAATGTAATCACCTGTGCTCTAGAAGTGCCATATTTGGAGAACCATGGACTTGAAAAGCAGAAATACGTAGAATCGAGGGAGAAATGCTGTATTTGTGATGAGAACATTCCTACAAAAGGTGACTCATCAATTTCTAGCGACAGTTCCGTACCATTATTTTCCCAATCCTTGCCGTCAATTGCATCGAAACTTCAAAGCACTACAGAGGTAAATCTATGACATTCACTTTTGTTGAATATGAAGCCTAATTTGGACCAGAAACCCGTCTGATGGTTAGAAAATTAGGAAGCTGGTAAATCTGATGTTCTTTAAGCTATAACTCGTATTTAATTGGTTTCATTATGGTATTGTTTCAGAATACAATGCAAACCATGGCACTCGGAAAATTTATAATAGAGCACTTCCATGGTCTTCAGTATTGTTTCATGAGGGTATGCCTGTGGGCCATTTTTGCAATGGGACTGAGCTACCAGATTTCTGGTTTACATAGAAAATTATGGAAAAAGCGCAAAAGAAAGGTGCATCGGAAGAAAGATAAAGTAGAGGGTTCCTCTAGGGGAGCTGGGAAGTGGATGAAGAAGCTGCTAGTTCTGTTTGTGTTAGCTGGTGTGGCTGTATCAATTTGGCTATTTTGGTATTTAAGTTCAGGGATTAGTTTTAGAAGGAAAGAAACACTAGCAAGCATGTGTGATGAGCGGGCACGGATGCTGCAGGATCAGTTCAACGTGAGCATGAATCATGTTCATGCGTTGGCTATTCTTGTTTCCACTTTTTACCATGGGAAGGAACCTGCAGCTATCGATCAAGTAATATTTCCATATGGGAAAGTTCGAATGAGAACCTTGGAACCAACTATTTCATTTATTATTCATGATGAATAACCGTGAATGATCATGAATATCATGCATTTTTTTATCATGAATTCATTATGAATAAAAGCGTGAATAGTTGGTTTCCAGATTCTCAATATATTTATAGTTCTTGTTTGGACCTGCTCCTATTTCCATAATTCACTGAATTAGATGACAAGAGTACCATCCATCATAAAGTTGATCTAACCATAGTAAAGGGTTCTTCCTATTTGACAGAAAACTTTCGGCGAATATACTGAGAGAACATCTTTTGAGAGGCCACTTACTAGTGGCGTTGCCTATGCATTAAGAGTGCGTCATCCCGAGAGGGAGAAATTTGAGAAAAAGCATGGTTGGACAATAAAGAAAATGGAAACCGAAGATCAGACATTGGCACAAGATTGTGACCCCGAAAAGCTGGATGCATCACCTATTCAAGATGAATATGCTCCGGTTATCTTGTCTCAAGAAACCGTAGCTCATATTGTCTCTATTGATATGATGTCTGGAAAGGTATCTTCATGAAAATATTTACTTATTTACTTCATGGTTCTTGTTGCAATGTCATAAATGGAACCTTTTTACTGTTGTGAGGTTGTTTAATTACAGCGGTGTCTCAATTTTCTCTTTCGTAATCGTTTAGGAAGATCGTGAAAACATTTTGCGAGCAAGGGCATCTGGAAAGGGGGTCTTGACATCTCCTTTTAAGCTTTTGAAATCAAACCATTTGGGTGTTGTACTTACCTTTGCCGTCTATAATACTCACATTCCTCAAGATGCTACATCGGAGCAACGAATTAATGCCACCGTGGGGTAAGTTTAACTCGTTACCAACTTCTTATTGGATAGCACTTGGGCTAGACTTGGACTTTTCTCCTCCATATATGTTGAAACATCTCTTCCATTCTCAAGGGTTCTTTTGGAGAGTAATCTAACGGGGTTCCACATATTCCCACATTTCCGTCTTCCGCACTAGGAGATTGACAAACTGTTTCTAATTCAATAGTTTCTTGAAAAACAGGTACCTAGGTGCATCATATGATATCCCATCACTAGTTGAGAAGCTTTTACACCAGCTAGCTAGCAAACAGACCATCGTTGTAAATGTTTACGACACCACAAACATTTCTGCAGATATTAACATGTATGGTCCTAACGAGACTGACACGGGGTTACTGCACATTAGCAGTCTCGACTTTGGTGATCCTGCTCGGAAGCATGAAATGCGCTGCAGGTCATTTCTGAAACCTTTGCAGACTTCAACACCACCAGTTTACAGAAACAAATAGTTCTATTGATTTTGCTTTCAAACTTCAGCATCACCTCTTATCAATAAGAAGTAAAAGAAGACTTCAGAGTTCAACACCTCTTAAAAAACAAACAACAGTTGGATATTTGCAACTATAATGGGATTTTATTTCTTATCAGGTTCAAGAATAGGCCTTCTACACCTTGGACAGCCATAGCAGCATCAGCAGGACAGCTTATAATTGTTTTGCTTCTTGGGCATATCTTCTATGCAGCTATAAACCGAATTGATACAGTTGAACGTGATTATCAGGAGATGATGGAGCTTAAACATCGTGCTGAAGCTGCAGATGTGGCAAAATCTCAGGTGGGTATCCTTTCCTAGAGCTTTTAGATTCATTCTCTTTGCAACATTTATTATTTTATCATGTATATATATATATATATATAATCTCTTTTTTCTAGTTTCTTGCAACAGTTTCACATGAAATCAGGACTCCAATGAATGGTGTTTTAGGTAATAGACTATGCCTCTAATTTAAATCTTTGTTTGCTTCAAAAGCTGCTGTTTTTTCTTCAGCAAGTGATAAGTTTTGGATAACAGGAATGCTGCAGATGCTGATGGACACAAATCTGAATGCAAAGCAATTAGATTTCGCACAGACTGCTCATGCTAGTGGAAAAGATTTAATAAAGTTAATCAACGAGGTTCTGGATCAGGCAAAGATTGAATCAGGAAAGCTTGAGCTTGAGGCAGTCCCGTTTGATCTGCGCACCATTCTTGATAACGTTTTATCATTATTTTCAACCAAGTCCCAAGAAAAGGGTATTGAGGTAAATTCCTTTATTTTTAAAGTTGATTGCATCATCATAGACGCTATATATCTATTCTAACAAGGATAAACTGTTCTTGTGGGTGAGAAGTTGGCGGTTTATGTTTCTGATCAACTTCCTAAAGTTGTCGTTGGAGACCCTGGACGCCTCAGACAGATAATTACAAATCTTGTTTCGAATTCACTTAAAGTTAGCCCTCCTTCATTTGCCATAATTACAATTTATGCACACTACTACATCCATTTAGTCGTGTTCAACTTACACCTTATTCGGTTGCAGTTCACACATGACAGAGGACACATATTTGTATCTGTGCACCTAGCAGATGAAGTCAGACGTCCACTAGATATGAAGGATGAAGTACTTAAAAAGACTCTAGCCTCTGTTCAGAACTCATTGAATTCAATCGTTGTTTACAACACTTTAAGTGGGCTTCCTGTTGTCGATAGGAGGAAAAGTTGGGGATCTTTTGAGAAACTAAGTGGCACAGATTCGATAGATCAATCTGAAAATATCAAAATCTTAGTAACGGTTGAAGATACAGGTGTGGGTATCCCAAAAGATGCACAAAGCCGTATATTCATGCCATTTATGCAGGCGGACAGTTCCACATCACGAACTTATGGTGGAACTGGGATTGGATTAAGCATTAGTAAAAGATTAGTAGGTCTGATGAATGGAGAGATTGGTTTCGTTAGTGAACCTGGTACTGGAAGTGCATTTTCATTTACAACGGTTTTCATGAAAAAGGAAACAAGTTCTCTTGATACAGTACTGCAGCAACAGTATTATCCGTCGATATCAGAATTTGATGGGCTAAGAGCACTCGTGATTGATCAGAAAAGTATAAGAGCTGAAGTTACACGATACCATCTTCAGAGGATGGGAATCTTTGTCGAGATAGCATCTAGTTTGTATTCTGCACAATCTTACATATCAAGGTACATTTATTTTACAAATTGCAGGATATTTAATGACGTTATTAACAATCATTTGTCACTTATCCTGCAGTGATTCAGCTAATCTTGACATGATCCTCATAGACGAAGAAGTTTACAGTCACGAGTCTGATCTTGCACTTTTTCTTGGTCTTAAAGAGCTCAGACCAACTGATAGCACCAACATAGCAGGGATTGTACCAAAAATATTTCTCTTGGCCAACTCTAAAAGCCCAGCAAGACACAATGAACTCAAATCAGCCAATTTGGTGTCTGATGTTCTTGTGAAGCCTCTTAGATTTAGCGTCTTGATATCTTGCTTTCAAGAAACTCTTATAACCGAAGATAGGACACAAGTAACAAGAAGAAAACCACCAACTCTCGGGACTCTGCTATGTGAAAAGAAAATCTTGGTGGTGGATGATAATGTCGTAAACAGAAGAGTGGCCGAAGGTGCTTTAAAGAAGTATGGAGCTATTGTCACCTGTGTAGATAGCGGGAAGGCTGCATTAGAAATGCTTAAGCCGCCTCATTTCTTCGACGCCTGTTTCATGGATCTACAAATGCCAGAAATGGACGGGTAAGCAACTGGCTCCATTGTTCAGTTTCCAATATCTTCACATTTTGGTTTAAAAATCTCATTTTTTCATCTTGATTTTCCTAAAAAGCACGACATTCTAACTCCCAAGTTTAGCATCCACACTGTCTTTTATACATGACCTCTGATAGAAGTTCTTGGAGACGCAAAAGATTAAGATAGCAGATAAGGTGCTTTTTGGTTGGTTTTCCATTGAATCCTGTGTGAATAAAGTTGTCTGCCTGGATTATTTTGTCTATATAGATTGAGAAAGTTTTTGCTTGGGAGGGTTTTTTCCTAGATGGAAGGAAGCGAGAAGCGATTCTCTTAGCCGGCATACCCGACAAATCAAAAAAGCTTTTTAATTAGGATGGTAGGGGTTGGAAAAAAACTTGGTTTTTTGCATAAAGCTCTCCCCTATAAGCTTACTGAACAAGCCACTTTTTGTATCATTAAGCCATTATCAGACAGTCATGTATGGCCGACCGAACTAGCTGTGAATCCCATTAAATTCATTAAGTTGCTAACAAACAGACCCTAAGAGTGGGGATATACCGGGTTTGTTTGATTTATGCTAAAATCTAGCACTATCTCATAAAGTCTAGCACTATCTCAACTTGTTAGGTTCGAAGCTACCAAACAGATCCGCAGTCTAGAGAACAAGGTTAATGAAGAAATCCAATCTGGTGAAGTAGCAGTCGAAATGTTTGCAAATGTTGCTCATTGGCACACGCCCATTTTAGCAATGACTGCTGATGTCATTCAAGCAACGGATGAAAAATGCATGAAGTGTGGGATGGACGGCTATGTCTCAAAACCATTCGAGGAAGAACAACTGTACACGGCTGCAGCCTGCTTCTTTGAGTCTGGTTAAGAGGCTATAAGTGGTGCACATATCGCTATGCTGATCCAGCATGCGGATATGTGCTGAACTAACTTAACCATGATTAAGGGCCTAAACAGTCTGGTTAAATGGCTGTTGGGTTCTGTCATCATTAGCGGCATCACCATACACAGTTGTTGTTCCTAGCCATGGTAACCTCTTTACCCAATCTGGATTTTTTTCTTCACTTTTGATAGTGTGGAATTCTGATGATTAGTTAAACTATATATACAGGAATCCGTATGTAATGATTTGCCGAAGAAAGAACAATGGAGCATGGAAGTTCTTGTATATAAACCCCCATATGATCGATCATCTTCACCAAAGTACATGAATCTTTCGAATTGGGATCTTGTATGAGAAAGCTGACAGGAGAATAATGGGAAAAATATGAGCAGATGTTCGATTGAAGCCTTCATCAACTGATTTCAAGTTCAGATGTACATGTTCTAGATTGATTGTAAAGAAAAACGACATAGATTTATCGCAATTGTTGTACAAGTTCTCGAATCATAATTCTGTAAATTGTGAACTAGTGCTTTTTTTGTGACTAGATGAAAGAAGTCTGTAATGGAGTTATGCTTCTGAAATGTATATGAATCTCTGCCAGTTTCAGATTTAAGAAACTAGTGTACACGACAACTTAGAATGCAATCTTTCTAACCTCAAAAACATCTACAGATTTTGTGTTTTTTGACATCTAGATTTAGGTATGGACCCAATTGAGGGTACCAACATGAACAATTGTCTGAAACAACTTCGGCATCCTAGGAAAGACGACATCTTTAAACTCTTTCCATTTAGGATCGTATTTGACCAAACTCCCACCTCTGTATTCCAGCAAGATATCTCCATTCTTCAAAACGCACAGAACTCGAACCATCCTTCCACCCAAAGGCCACCTCCATATCCCATAATGGTGCTGCTCGTGGCTAGGCATTTTCGCCGGAAAAGCTCCATGGATGACGAACTCCTTCATCCAAGATTCCTTAGAATCGTATTCCTTCATAACCCAAATCTCTAACTTGCCATACCCACATGAAATCACCGCCGCTAGACAACCTTTTATGACGGCCAAGTGATAGTTGCCACGGTTAACGATGGCATGGCCAGGCTTCGCCACCACCTTGAACTGCTCGTCTTTCAGGTCAAAAGAAATGATGGCTCGACCTGGAACGCCGGCGATCCGGCCGGGTCGACTCACCCAATGGATTCTCCCGTTCACTACAGGAGCTTCTGTTGCTTGTCTGTCAAGATGGTAAGGCACTTTCCCAAGGCATCTCCATGAACTCTTATTGGTTTGTTTAGAAATGGTGAGAATTTGAACCTCCGATTTGGGGTAATTCCGGTTGTTTCTGATGATCCGACGGCGGACCTGCCAGTTTCTGTAATACACAATCTTGACAACTTTGTACTCGTTTGTAACCGGATGAAACCCGAACCCGAATAGAACCTCCTGTTCCTGAAATTGCTTAGATTTGGGGAGCTCCAGATAATCCATAGAAAACGGGTTGAACAAGAAAACGGGTTCCACATAAAGCGAATCCGATAAGCATAACAAGCCATTACATGAACCCACGACGTTGAATTCCGGCATGGAGCCAGAAAAGGGTGTGTATATCTTTCTTACAATCTTGCCATCACCATCACCATCACCATCACCATCACAACCGGATGATGATAATTCGACGAATGAGAGGTGGTTACGGATAGGGTAATCGCAGTGGAACAACAACGTCGGATCGTCATTAGCCAGCGCAGAGTGGTGGAGGCGGGAAAGGTCAGGGTCGATTGACAGCAGCTTCCATGACTTGCAAACCAACCGAAACTGAATCAGGGATGAAATGGGCAGCCTGATGAGTATAGCTAGGATTACATCTCTTGGTAAATCCTCCAATGGAAGACACTCTCCATGAACCTTATGATCATCTCCATCCTCAACTGAGAGTTTTAGCTTTTTGTTTCTGGGTGGTTCGATCATGGAGAAAGAGATTGAAGAATTGGAGGAGAAAAGCAAGAGATTTGTGTAGAAGGAGAGGCGTATATGATGGCCATGGGATGGGAGGAGTTGAACTTGGGGAATTGATTAAGCCATAAATTGAGTTGGTGGGCTCCACATTGAATAGTAATTTGGAGGCATATGTCACAAAAGTCCATCTTTTTCCCTTTAAAAACGGATGTGAAGCCCTTAATTGAGTTTATATTATTACTAACAAATGTTTAGAAATTGTTTGACAGTTGTTGAATGATTTGATATAAAATGATTAAATTATGTTGGTTGGGTTCAAAACGACAGACCGGATCACATCAGAGGACCTTTTTATAGCACAATTAATGTTTAGTTTTTAATTCACGCGTTATTATCCTAGATATTTAAAAGAGTAAACTACGATTTTCATCCTTATTGTTTGATGTTTAGCGTGATTTTCGTCCCTGTCATTTAATGTTTATGATGATTTTTATCCTTGGTATTTAGAAAATGCTTTTTTCATCCCTATGGTTTCTATTTTGCTTCGATTTTTCCATCCAACTTTGTTAGAGAAAGTGTTTTTTAGGGTTTAGGTACCGAATAAAACTAAATTTCTTGGTATTATTTTTTATAGAGTTTTTTTTATTTTAAAAACCAGTTGACTTTTTTTTTTATTAAATTCATTTTAAAAACCAGTTGGTTTAAAACGAGATATCAATAACTAATAGAAAAAATCAAATTATTTCTTTAAAATTATTGATAAATAAATGATATCTTTTTTTTTTCTTCAAAATTTTAGGTTGAAATCTCTTCTATAATTAATAGTTTTTTATTTTTATTGATTTGCTTGATCATTTTATTTATTTTATATATGAATAATTTAATAGGATTCAACGATAAATAAAAAAATTAGTTTTATCTTATACCACTTGGTTATTTTTTATTTTATTAAATATATTTTGCTTTCACTATTCCATATTTTCATTTAAACTTTATTTTTATTAATTAATCAAATTTGTTTAATATTTAAATTAAAAAAAGCATGCACACACACACACATATATAGTATTAAAATTTAATAAAGAAAGAAAATTCAATAAATGAAATTTGAGGATAAATATTTAAAACTCCATATACCACAAGGATTAAATATGTAATTTCTCAACAACACTTTTCGGATTTTCAACAATTGTTTCTAAAAGAGTCTGGTGAAGGGATAAAACTAGAAGAAAAATGAAAAGCATAGGAACGAAAAAAAGTAGTTTCTAAAGACCAAGGACGAAAATTGTTATAAACATCAAACTATAGGGACGAAAATTGCTATAAACATCAAACTATAGAGACGAAAATTGTTATCAACATCAAACTATAGGGAGAAAAATCATAGTGATATTTTGTTCTAATACACCTCATATTCACACTAATTTGTGTAGTTGGGAGATTATATGAATTAATAACACTTATTTTTAAATAAACATGATTTCCTGGATGAATTTATATTTAGCAAAAAGAAAATTAAATATATGAAAAGACATATTTACCCTTTATAAACATACAAATGGTAATAATGATAGTAGGTGTAAAATTGAAAAGTCAGTGAGATTTAGTCAAACCTAAAGATTGCACCATATCTTGTAACCTTTGAGTTTAATACTCCTTTGTTATTATCTATATTATTATTTATATATATATATATATATATATATATATATATATATATATATATATATATATATATCAATTTGTAAAATTAAACAAGCGTAAATTGGTCTTCTTATCGAGTAAAAAGTATCATAATTATGTATTTCTAAAATTGTGTATTTTTTTATTATAGATTTTATTTAAGACGGACAAAGTATGATTTTATCTAGGGGTTGATATCCTCACCCCCTTACGATCACTTCTCACCCCTTCTCTCATATCTTTCCCTCACTCACACTCTCACATTCACCAAATTTTTTAAAATTTTAATTTTAAATTTACACTTTATGTCCCTGTAATTAGTTAATTAATTTACTTTACATCATTTCCTTTTAAATTTTTCATTTTACACCCTTATCAAATTAACACATATAACCATATATCAATTAAAACATATTTATAAAATACATTTTTATTTTAACAAGTTACACCATTATAATCGTCTCGTTAATACCTTCAAAATGAGACCAATATTGAATAGTTTTTGACTTAATTATATTATTATAATACTATGAAAAATATTTTTAATATACATAATTTATTTTTTTAATTTTCGTTTTACACTATTATCACATTGAAAAACATAATTTTATATTAACTAAAATTAGATCTAACAATGAAATTAACTTCTTAGGAAGCATTTTCATACCCTTTATTCATCTTGTTCATCTTACATACTCATTTTTTAATATACTTTTTATTTTAACAAATTGCACCATTAAAATCGTCTCGTCAATCTCTTCAAAATGAACCTAATAATGAATTTGGGGACGAATTCGGGGATTTTAACGGGGACGGGGGTTGGGGCGGGGACGGTGATCTCCGGCCCGACCCAATATGTATATATATATATATATATATATATATAGAGAGAGAGAGAGAGAGAGAGAGAGATTTTAACGGAGATTTTAACGGGGATCGGGGAAACCGCGGGGACCCGATGGGGATCCCCGATAAGATCCCCGACGGGAATCGGGACAGTTTTAGCTATCGGTTTCGGGGACATGGATACCAATAACTGGCCCGAACGCTGCCCGTTGCCATTCCTATTAAAAATATGTTTATATTTTAATAAGTTACATCATCGAAATCGTCTCGTCAATAACTTCAAAATGAACCAAATATTGAACATCGTTTTATTTAATTATGGAACTGTAATTATATAAATATCATAAGGGTATAAAATAAAAATAAAGAAGTAAATAAATATAATAAATTTTTAAAAAGATATAAAGTATAAATATTGAAATTTTTTCATATACAAATATAT